TATATATATATATATATATTGTTGTTCATACCATTAAATTTTTTTTTGAAGATAGTGACAAAAATCATTCATCATTTTATTAACTAGCTATTGGTCTATCAAGATACCCATACAATTAAAATTAGAATATCCCATAACAGAATAAGATTTGTATTTCCATACATTAAGCAATGATGTAAATTTCTAAAAAATACAAATAAAATGTATAAAAATTTCATGATTTGAGAAAAGTTTGTAAGCAGGCATGGTCGGGATCACAAAGATTGCTCAAAATATAAGTTTCCGAATAACCTTACAACCTTCAGGATAACAGAAAAATTAGCCTTGGATCCAATAATCAAGCCTTCAAACTTGGTACAGAGTTCAGGATTGCCTAGATGATCAGAGCAGTTAAAGAGCACCTTAGTCATGTTTCCAACAGAATAAAAAAATAGATGTTAAGAATTTTGAAAGAATGTCATGGTTGCATTAATTGCAACAAAATAAAAAATCCAAAATTTAGAAACCCTGGATCTAATGAAAATCCCTCTTATTGGAAACCCTAGATCTTGGAAGATCTTAAATAAATGATAAAAAAGAAACATATATGCCAGTAAAGAGAAGCAAATCATTCATGAATGATCTTACAACCAACCAAAATGAAAATAAGATCCACCCACTTTAACGCCGGAGCGCGATTCTTCCTTCTGGCGTAGTCGAAGCGTCCTTCCCCGTGCGATGATGAGCAATACTCACTGAGGTTTGGACTCGCCGTTTTCCCGCGAAATTCAGGGTCCGTTTGGGACGGCTACCGCGATGCGGTACCGCAATGCAGTTTTGTCTGTTTGTAAACTACGTTTTAACAGTTTTTCAAAAAAATGCCGCTGAAATCTATGTTTTCTCGCCTATATTGGCTGGGTGCGATGAAAGTTTTCTTGTTGTGGTTTGACTTTTTCAAAAGAAAAAAAATTGTAATTGCCACCGCAGATTTTTGAACATCATATTACTTTTCAACAGCTTAACAAAAGCTTTTTAATAAGCTGCTACTGCCCCAAACAGACCCTCAAACTTACAAGCTTTACTCCCAAAGAGTATTCAATGTCCACATATTCTTCTCTCCGACAAACACCCTTTCCCGCACGTCAAGTGGAAACGAAGAAGAGATGGAGGAGGGAGAATATGAAATCTTTGGTAATTTTGGAGTTTAAGGTGCTTTGAGATATTCGAGTTTTAGCGAAGTTTGGGTGTCGCATATTTAAAAATCACTATTTTGGGCGTCGCGTATATAAAAAAATAGATGTCAAAATTTATTTCATTTTTAGAAATATTCAAATTCATAACACTAGAAAAAGTGGAGATTTTTTTTTGACAGGAAGTAGAAATTTTGAGCTAATAAAAGTTAGGGTGTAACAATTGACAGTAAGGAATTTCAGTTGTTAAATATGTAAATGATAAGGAATTAAGTGGTATTTATGTAAATTCCAAAATTAAAAATGAAAAAAAAAATGAAATTTGATTCTATTCTTAATGACAACTAACATTTTAATATTTTAATCTAAATGGGTCATATGCTCAAGAGTTCACACGTACATTAACACTATCCATTATGAACCCAAACAGATGATACCATGATATTCTCTGACGCATTTTATTTTTATGAGACATGCAAGATGAATTATTACATAAAGACATATAAATAATTACATAATAATGATATGATAATAAGTTAGCAATAATGATATTTTTATGTGAATTTAAAATTTTGAGTGATTTGCAGGTAAATCTGAAATTTTAGGTGTTAGATAATAGATATGTAAATATGTAAAAATTGTGTTGTGTATATATAAATGCCCCTAAATTTTACAATTATGTCTAATAAAATTAAAATTTTCAAATATCCATCGTTAATTCTCACAATAGCAAGAAATGCTGCATGTCCTCTTATAAAGCTGCTTTGTTCTCCTCTGATTTGTCATTAGATTTGTCGATTTATGATTACTTCTTTGTAAAAAATAGCACTAGCATTTACATAAATACCACACAATTCTATGTATTTACAAATCTAATATCTTAGTTTTATTGTTTACATTTATATCATCTAAATCCTTCATATCACATAGAAAATTATGTCATTATTTTAATTTTTAAAAGGTTAATTACACTTTTTTTATACGTAGGCAAGGTGGCGTGTCAAAATTGAAATTTAAGTGTTAGATAAGTAAATAAATCGAAATTAAGTGGAATGTATTGCCCTTCTAATCGCGAAAGGAAGATATTTTGGACGTGCCTTTATAAACCGGCTTGTTCTTCTTTAATTTGACTGTATGATTACTTCTTTATATAAAACAGTACAAAAATAACACAAGCATTTACATATATACCACACATTTATCATGCCAATGTTTTTCACATCTATACCACCTAAATTTTCGTATCACCAATATATATATATATATATATATATATATAATAAGACTTTTTTTTCACATTTATACCACCTAAATTTTCATATCCCAAAAAAAAAAAAAAAATTAAGGCACAAAAAAGAATTTGATAAATCAGAATTTAAGGCACAAAAATAAATCTGCAAATGTGTGCTGATAAATCTGCAAAATCCGCCTCACATAAGAATTTGATAAATCTGAATTTAAGGCACAAAAAAGACGAAATGGGGAGAAAGTAGGGGAATGGGGGAGCGTCGGATTTACCAGAGAGTTGGATTTGGATTTCTCCATTTTTTATGTTTCGTTGAATTTAAGTTAAATCAAGGTTAAATCCTGTTAAAAGTGTGCTACCAAACACTCCCTGTGGAAGGAGAAAATATTTCACATGTAATTCGTGGACGCACTGGAAAAAAAATAAAAAATACATATATTGGCGCATGACCCGGCATGAACCAGCCCATATAGGGGTGAAAACAAAACCATGCGTGCCTCTTCAATCTTTATTTTCTTCCGCCGCCATCGAGTACGGTTTCGTAGAGCGATATTCACCTATGATTTGGTAGCTAGGGTTTGATTTGTTTGAACCTCGCACCGTCAGTTGCCGGACGAGCAGCATTTGCATTCCCTCTCTCTTGTCTTCTAAGTCTTGTGTTATTTAGGTTTTTTTGAAACAAACCTCCCAAAGCGATGTTCACTTGTGATTTCGTAGCTAGGGTTTGATTTGTTTGAACCTCGCACTGTCAGTTGCCGGACGAGAAGCATTTGCAATCCCTCTCGCTTGCCTTGTGATCTTGTGATATTTAGGTTTTTCCGAAACAAATCTTGCGTAAGGATTAAGGGGGGCTTAGGGTCAAAACTCATGTACTTTTCTTTGTGCTTTCAAGCAAACTAAAATAGAAGAATGAAAGAACCCAAGAAAAATAGAGAGCGTAAGAGTCGACAAAGAGCATCCAGGTAATTTTGGTTGTGTGGTTGTACTTGCATTTAAAAGTTTGTGTCCGAGATGAACATTGCATCATATAATTTTTACTCTTTGTTCAATGACAAGCTTAATAGCCAAATTAACCATATAAAATGATGATTTAGTATGGGAAAAGAAATATTTCATCTTACCACCATAATATTATGATTGTAGGATTTATCACGAGCAAAACAATAAAATACTCTCATTAAACTAGCATAATACTATTATAATAACACACTAATAACACCACAATACAACCACATTTGTATCACAATAACATCACAATACGACTGCACTAATAACACCCTTGTACAACCACATTTGTATGACAATTACACCATACAATTACACTAATAACACACAATACAATCATATTTATATCACAATAACACTACAATACGATGACACTAATACTACATTTGTATCACAATAACAAAATAATACTATCACATTAATAACAACACCATAAAACCACAATGCCACCACACTAATAACACCACAATAATATATTTGTATCACAATAATACCATAATACTACGCTAATAATACTACCATAAAACACAATAATAACACTACAATATAATCACACTAATAACACCACAATGCAGTCATATTTGTTTCACAATAACACCACAGAAAATAAGTCTTGCGTAAGGATTTAGGATTTAGGGTTCGAACTCATGTACTTCTCTGTGTTTTCAAGCAAGCTAATATAGAAGAATGAAAGAACCCAAGGAAAATAGAAAGCGTATGAGTCGACAAAGAGCATCCAGGTAATTTTGGTTGTGGTTGTACTTGCATTGAAAAGTTTGTGTCCGAGAAAAGCATTGTTTCAAATAATTTTTAATTGCTTTGTTCAATGACAAGCTTGATAGCTGAATTAACAAAATGAAATTATGATTTAGTATTGGAAGAGAAAATGTTTCATCTTACCACCATAATATTAAGGTTACAGGATTTATCAAGAGCGAAATAATAGAATACTACAATTAAACTAACATAATACTGCCACAATAACATACTAATAATACAAAAATACAACCACATTTGTATCACAATAACATCACAAGACGATAACACTAATAACACCATTGTAAAATAATCTTTACACGATAATATCATATCATAACATTAATAACAGTACAATACAACCACATTTATATCACAATACACCGTAATACGATGACACTAATAACACCACTGTACAACCACATCTATGACAATAACACCATACCATAGCACTAATAATACCACAATACAATCACATTTGTATCACAATAACACCATAATACTGCACTAATAACACCACAAGACAACCACAAACATCACTATACAATCACATTTGAATGACAAAAACACCATACAATTACCCTAATAACCCAACAATAAAACCACATTTATATCATAATAACACCACAATACGACACATAACACTGTTGTACAACAATATTTGTATGATTATAATACCATACCATAACACTAATAATACCACAACACCACTGCATTTGTATCACAAGAACACCACAATACGATGACACTAATAACACTACTCTACAACCACATTTGTATGACAATAACACCATATGAAAACCCTAATAACACCAAAATACAACCACATTTATATCATAATAACACCACTGTACAACCATAATTGTATGATAATAAAACCATACCATAAAACTAATAACACCACAATACAATCTAATTTGTATCACAATAACACCACAACACGACACCAACAACACCATTGTACAACCACATTTGTATCACAATATATCATACCATAATACTAATAATAGCACAATACAATCACATTTGTATCACAATAACACCATAATAGTGTACTAATAACACCACCCGACAATCACATTAAAAATATCACTATACAGCCGCATTTTTATGACAAAAATATCATAACATTACACTAATAACATCATAATACAACCACATTTGTATCACAATAACACCACAATACGACACTAATAA